GGGGGGGGGCTGGTATAGGTAGAGATGGAAGATTTTGATGCAAATATCGAAGAACAGAAGGAAGAAAAGAAAGATGCAGAGGAAGAGGAAAGCGAACTGGTAGGAGACAGACCAACCACTTTGAACAAAGTGTCTCTATTAAAATTTTTAAGGGTTTAATCTCAGATCTATGGTCAGATTACTACTGTTGATTTACACCTTAATGGTAAAAGTTTCCATAATCATCTTCAAGGAGACATTTGGATACTTTTTCTTTTTCCCCTGACCAAAAGAACCCTCCACTGTGTTGTTACACGAAAATTTTAAGAATGCTAAGAAACTTACCCTGTACTCACTCATCTACTTGTGGGTGGCTTTAGGGGAGTATACTTTTTAAGAAAATCAATTACATATGAAAGGGCATTCTTACATTCCAGCAGATATGTGGTACAGCCTACCCAACATATGCATAATTGTCTCTTCTTTGCTATGAGATTTCAAAATTGAGTTGCTGTCAACTGAGGCAGAAGAACTTCTAGAATGAGGCAGAGGGTTGTCACTGACTGCTGGATTTGTTCTTCTGCATTTTATCCTTTTAAGTGATTGGGAAAATGATTTGAGTGTGTAGGCAATGCATTTTGTTTAGGCTGATTAGAGACTTCCATAGTGTGAGTTCAAAGTTCCCGTGTACCTACTGTAAATGTTTTTGATCACACCTCTGTAGAGATGTTTGCCTTACCCTGTCATTGAAAAATATGCGACCTGTAGAATTATGTTACTTTTCAGTGTTTGCTAATGAGGCACAGAGATTAGCAATGCCTTGAAACAGTGTTGCTTTTTTAATTCAAAATATTATTTGGTTTATTTAATACTTCAGCCCTTGCTAAAGCTGCTTCTCATATTCTTCTGGAAATGTACAAAGCGAGAACCCTGATTCCTACCCTAGAGAATACAGACTCTCTAAGGAGTGGTCCCATCAAACCCATGTGTGATATAGAGGACTCTGAAAAGAAACTGTGTGTAAATAGAGATGGTGTCAACCTCTACATTCCTAGATTTCATATGCGGATTAAAAAATAAGCTTTAAAGTTAATTGCATTTGAGTCTCAGTATGTTTTTTCTTTAAACAAAATATTTTTTCTTAATTAGGTTGTTTTTTTTGACATATATGATCTAAAATGTAGGCAGGAAGTTCATTTAAAGGCCCACGCTGTTCTGGAATATGGCTAATGACCTCTTCAGCTACTTGCAGCGTGTGTACTAGAAAGATCATGTGAGAAGTCTATAATATTAGCTTTCTGAAGCTCCGTCTTCCTTTTGTGGAGATTTCAGTTCAGGATATGGTTCATAACATCTGACTTGTTTAGGTGTAGGTCAAAGCTCGGAACTTTTAATTGAATGTGCTACTTATTTTGAAAAGTGAAACACACTGTAATACTCTATTATTACATCAAAAAACATGGCAAGGAAGCCTTAGAACTCTACCCTGCTGGACTATCTCTTTTATTTCCAAGTGGCCTAACATTTCAACCAGTGAGAAGATGATACAGTTTTAAGGAAGAACAGGGTGGTTCCAGCAGGAGGAAATTAATATACTCATTTTGCTTATCTTTATGTTATAAAACTTCTCTTAACCCATTCAAAAATGCTGAATCCAGGTCTTCTACTATTGGGTTCTATTCCAAGAGTAAAAGATTCTTGGAGAATTTTAACCAAAGGGTTAAGAGCAAGTCTAATGTCATTCAGACCATTTTAATGGAATTCTCAATAAACTTTGCATTTTCTGCTTTGTACTGATGACTGCAACTGGGCGGAATCTAAACTTTTCTTGGTTAAGAGAATCCTTTTGGGGGATCATTGGTATGATATTTTTCCTTCTTTAGCGCTTCAGTGAACCTAGTAGATATGATTCAGAATCTATAAATATGTTATTCTAGTGCTGCTCAAGGTTTTCAGGTGATTTCTGAGATATCACTTGTACAGATCTCATCAGTACGTTTAGCGCCATCATTTCAGCATAGCTTTGTCTTGGTTTGTTCTAGAAATGTATTTGGGAAAGATGGTATGATTTGTAACCTGAAGTACTACCTAATAAGTTGAAAGTGAATTATTAGTCTGGCTTAAAGACTATAAGTGTACCACACCTATAGGTTTCCTGGAAGAACTCTGATGCTCCAGTACTCTTACCCAGCAGCTATTGCCATGAAGCGTTCAGCATCCTTTCCAGCCTCCCTTTGTGTCAGTCTGTTCCATGAACTTGGATATTCCCAAGAGTAGAGATACTAATTTTTAAAAGAAGATGCTGACACCTGTGATGAATCTGTTCTATATAATAAGCCCTAATATTAAAGTTCTGTATGTTAGGATCTAATAGAGAACAGAGTCCAAGTGAAGGAAAAGAGGAATCATAACCGTACACTTGCTAGGTGAATAAGCCGAAAGGATTACTACATAGTTAAATAGGTATATTGGGAAATTTGAAAATCGTATGGGACTTTGTTTGAAATAAACCACCCAGGTCTTTTTTTTTTACTAAATAAAATGTAAATTGCCTGTGGAGATTTCTGGTTTTTCATGTATTAGGAAAATGTCATTTTAAAAGACATTGAAAATAATAATCTAGGTTCCAACCAATGAAAAAGAAATGCTGTCACATTGATTCAGTAAAAAGCAGCCTTTGTAAGATCTAACCGGTAAATGGGTTGAGTCATTTTTAAATGAAGTTGGAACTTCATAGTTGTGTTCAGTGATACCATGTTTTCTTCTTTCGAGTACTGAAAATTACACTGCAATATAAAGTAGCTGTCTTGAAGAACACTCTTTGTACCTCATGGCTACTATCACTTGAGAATCGCAGTTGTATTTAGAAAAATAGCTAGTTATTATAAATCCTCTGCTACTCTGAATGTTATTAATACTAGCACAGTAACGACCGTACGTCCTCACCATATTTGCTGTCCAGCTGTTGTTCGGACTACAACTGTGTGTCCCGAACTGTAGCTGCCTCAAAGCGCCTTCATGATACTATTTTGAAGTGACTACTCTGAAATCCGGGCAGTGAAGTTGGGTGAATTGGGTAATTCAGTTTCTTCAGAGATAATGAGAACGTGTTTTCCCTAAGGATATATATATATACATATATATATATAAAACTAGTGAGTGGAAACTGAATCCGTTCCCAGTTTTAATGCTTTTCCAGTTCAACAGTGATATGCATGTATGTGTCTCTTTCTAACCCTTCGAGCTTCTCTCTGTGTGCGATTTAGGGTTACATTCCGAAAAGCAAATGGGAGATGGACACATCTGAGGCCAAGCTAGGTGGGTATCTCCTTTTTCCTGTTTTTATATGTGATACCTGATGGTAATGGTCATAGATCTTTCTGCTGTAAGAAGAACAAATTTCCCCAAATTTCTGCTTTAAACCAAGATTTTTGGCCTACCTTACATCCTCAGTCTATTTCGCTAGCTTTCAGTTTAACTAGTTATATCTTGTGACAAAGTGAAAGAAGAGTATTTACAAGAATTGCCTTCACTATCACTTCAAGGTTAGAGTAAGCGGAAGTGTGCTGAATTCAGCAATAAAATATTGTCACTTCTAAAATCCATTCTGTTATATTAATTAGAAATGTTAGTGCTGATGAGATTTCTGCTTTTTTAAAAGAATATTTAACTGCAGTCCAAAGCTGAACCTGATTATGAATACTTTGGGAAATAATAGTAGTAATCATAATAAATATTGAAGTTTAAACATTCATTAAAAGGCAGTTATTTTCCTTGTATAATAAGAGTTTCTGGGTGGGGGGAGGTAGGTATGTTATTCAGGTTTTTGAGGAGCCTACTTTATAAGATTCTTTCCTTCAACTTGTTTTAAGTGGCAGATTATAAAGTAAACTGGTTAAAATTACTGTCTAAATCAAAAGTTGGAGTTGCTTAATGTGAGGTTGTCTGTCAAGCAGAAAATCAAACGTATCCAGTGGATTTTCCTCTAATATTTCATGGTAATAATTGCAAAACGTTTTTTCTTTTCTTTTTTTCCCCACCTCACTTAAAGAGAATCATTTATTACATTGACTAAGATGTATTAATAAATAATCTAAAAAAAATGAGATAAGGACTTTTTGGAAGATTGACCTTACTAATGTATGAAGTATAACCGTCGGTCTCTGCGTTTCTCTTCTAGTATCATGCTGTTACTCCAAAACTGAAGTAACCATCTAAATATCTTAAGTTCATAGAACAAATCTGAGTCATTTAGCTGCTTCACTGTTTGGGATACATTGTGTTTCTGATGTAAGAGGAGTGCATTTTACACAAGTTGCATAAGTTTCTGCCTTTTATTTTGCCCAACTGATCATGTTAGCAATTGATGTTTACTAGGTCCTATGTAAAAGGTAGTTCCATAAACTTTAGTATTACTCCATTATTGGGATAGGTGTTTTGATATAAAGTCTAGGATTTTTTTCTGATGTGTGGCAGGTGAACATTATATGTGCTTACTGACATATTCTTAAACTAGTCTTCCCTCTTTGGGAAATCTTAGTGATCTCTTCCTCTAAACTTTTAAAGCATTTGTAAATGTTTAAGTGCAATTAAATGTGTAGGAAAATAATAATCACAAATTACTTTTTAAATAATAATGCTTTAGATATGTTTATTTTGATATTAGATTAAGTCTGTTTGAAGTTCTATACTATATTTTGAGAATAACCTGTAATACTGTAACATCATTTCCCTCTTCTGGTTCTCTAAGTAGCAGTTACCTTTTGGGGCAAAAAGAGATCATAAATAAAGAGACAAGAGGATTGTTAAAGTGATCAATATTTTAGCTAAGCACATAATGTTCAGAGGCATCGTGTAACATATGATCTATGATAATGCTTTTTTTAAACTCAAGCCAGTCCATTTTCTGTTTTTCTTTCTAATTTCTAAAGAGAAAGGAAAATGGAGTTTAGCTGTGATGAGTATTCAAGAAAATACGATATTAAACTTCTTCTTGATTTCTGGAAAAAATTCTGGCCTGTCTACCATTTGCTTCTCAGAAAATGCATTTTATGCAAATTCAGTCCATCTTAATGAAAGAGTGTTAGGCAATTAATTCCAGAAATGGATTTGTTAAATAAACCATTTCAGTTAAAGGCACTGAAGGTCTAGTAATGAATCTAGAATATAAACCCACCATGTTTGCTGTTGCTGCTGCTGTTGTTTTAGTAAGAGAGACAGTGATGTTTCAGACAAAGACCGACACTTTGTACCACTCTGTTATCTTGAGAGCTAATCTACCTGTGGAGGAAGGCAAAATGAGTGTGAGCATTCTTGAAAGTGCTTGCTTCTTTGAGATTGGTCCATGTAGCCAAATGAGACGAAGATTCTTCTCTAAAACATGAGGCGCTTCATCAGAGAATTAACCTATTTATGGTGCCTTCCTTATCATAACAAATTCAATAGATTTGATTACCAGGTACAATTAATTTTTCTGAGTACTTCACCAACATTCTTAAATTACTTTTGGTAACATGATTATGCGAGATGGAAACATACTAAGCTTCATCAGTGTCACACATTGAGCCAGAAGAGCTAAATCTGTACCTGGGGAGTTTTGATTCACAAATGAGTCTGCCAATGAGAAAGTACTTGTCTACCTTTCATACAGCTGGTTAAATCTCATTGCAGATTCTTGATCTGTGTTCATTAAGTACAGTGTGCAGTTCAGCCGATGTTTGAGTGTTACATCAGAAGTGGTGTAATTATAGAAAGATTCAGAACCGGCCTGAAATACATCTGGCATGGGTGTTGTGGAGTTGTTAACGGCTGCCTGTGGCCCACTCCAGTTGCCCCTGACTGGCCCCTTCTCAGCTGGGACACAGGCACCCTAATACAAGGGTGGGTGTTAACATGCCACATCAGATACTCAGATTTGGCATTGAAGCTACTTAAATTCGGACGATACAATTTTGGTTTCTCAAATTGTGAGAAACCAAAAGAAGGTTTGAGAGTGTTATCCTAATGTAGGTTTCTCCATACCAAGTACTTTTGCTTTTCTCATCTGTCATTTGTCTCTGCTTATCGGTTATTGTGTATTAGCCTTCTACATGTCAGGCAGTTTCATCTCTTAACAGTTGGAATGCAGTTATTCATATAGGCACATAACCCTTGTATGTTTACCATGAACAAATTTTCAGAAACACCATTTATGTTTAGAAAATGCATAGATGTATCTGCAAAAACTTTCGGTTGTACTGTATAATATTTACTGTTCTGAAGATGTGGGAAAATTCTGCGACCCTCCCAGGTTGGATGTTTAGACCTTCATCTTCATCTTAAAACTTCATCTTTTGAAATTCAAACCTCTGAAAATCATTAGTATGGGTGTATGGGACACCAGCCGTCTTCTGTAATTAACACCCCAGATTCCTCTTCCCTCACCTTATGCCATACATCTGTGTGTTTGGGTTTTCAGGATGCCATGTGGAAGAGGTATGAACCTTTCTTCAGCCCCAAGAAGGAAGCTTTAAACATGCTGTGCACAATGAAATTTCAAATTAAACATTACAAACAAGGGTGTTCAGACTAGAAGTACATGCTCTTCTGATCCTCCATGTTGCAAATATGGGACTCCTGGTCTGTAACTCCTGTCACATACCCAGTGTCTGAGGAAATGTTCTTGCAGTTTTCACACTTGCCCTTCTGCATTGCTGCCTTGGCCATGCTCTATTCTTGGAATTCAGATATGAATTTTTTCCTTTGAAATATGTTAATGTCAAAGTTGATCTTAAGTTTGGAAATCCTCTGAGGTTTATTTACTAAGTGTGTTAGAGCTTCCTACTCTTCTAGTAATACTGTATGCTGTGGAACTAGAACAGTTTTATTGTTTGTGGGACTTCATTGGTTTTCTAATACCATAATCTTCGTCCCTGTGCACTCAGGAGATCACTTCCTTAAGAATCTGTATAATACGGCCTGTCATACACATGAAGATAGAGCCATTTGGTATAGCATGTGATTTACAGAGGAGATTAGGAAACTGTTTGTGTTGAACTCATCCATGTTAAAAGTTTTTCCAAAGTGATGATTAAAATTTATTGAGTTTTGTAAAGTGTTGTAGTTTGCTTGAAGATTTTTCAGTAATACTGCTTTTATGGGGGAGGGTTTTAGGAAATAAAAGCTTTGCCAAGTATGTGAAATCTTACTGGTTTTTTAAGCCTGTGTAGTATGGTACAATTAGTTGTGTGTGAATCTTTTACATTTGAAGCATAAACTCACCCTCTCTCCTGCCACTGCTTCCATTGTACTTTCCTTTTCATATCAAGTTCTCCCCAACTTGGTGCCTAACAGATTTTTATCATATATACACCCTGCACCCTCTATGGAGTTTAATGAAGTGTGGTTATTGTGTATTTCTGACATTTTTAGGTTTTCTTTTATTGACTTGCTTAATAATAGTGTGTGTATATAATCACAGATGATTCAAAAGTTTAGTGCTTCAACGTAGCTAAAAATATATATAACTCATATTTCACATAGGGAATTCAAAATCAGTATTAACAACCAATTAAAAATGACTACACATTTTCATTTCTTGTTCTTGAAGACACCTAAACTCCTGTCTCATAATTTCTGAATCCGCAATCTCTCTTCATTTAATTAGTTACAGTTTGGGGCCCTTGGGAAGCCTAGCCCTCTCAAATTGAGGATTCAGAAAGAAAATTTAGATCTGGTCACTTGGACTGACTAGCTCTTAGCCTCAGGATGGTCAATAGCACTTCATAGTATAACCAAAGAATGTGATTTGTACAATCAACTTACTCAGAAACATTACCTCATGGCGAGTCCTCGCACACTGGTCAAAATCCCAAGGAGCTATTAATCTAAAACCTTTTTAAACATTAGCTTGGCTCATTAAGTTGTTGGTACTACTTACTTTTCATATGACACAGTATCACACGTGATTGCAGATCAAATGGGTGGTGTTAATATTGTGTTAAAGAAAAAAAAAAGAGTGGAAGAAATAGCTTTTAGAAAAACCCGTCTTCACATTTTCCTTCAGAACATGAGAGCTGAAGTGTGATTTGGTGGGGTGGGAGGCCAGGAGACAAGTGACTTTTCTTGCTCTACCCGTATTTGTGACTTAACATTGTAATGTAATGCCTGCCAGTATGAACACCAAATAAACAATGGAAATTGCACAGAACTATTATCTCAGCCACGAAGATAGTTGGGATCTGCAAGTGGTGCTGCTCTCAAAAATGTGGATCTGCCCTCTGACAGTGTTCCAGACTTCTTTTCCTTTGTTTGTGTGTTGTGTGCAAACTCACACTCTTCCTTAATGCTACGGCTCTGTGTTTGTCCCTCAGACAAGTTGGATGGCTTGAGAACTGGTACTAAAAGGAAGCGTGACTGGGAAGCAATTGCCAGCAGAATGGAGGACTATCTTCAGCTCCCTGATGATTATGACACTCGTGCTTCTGAACCTGGGAAGAAGAGAGTAAGAGACTTTGTCAATAATTGCCATTAGATGAAGGGCTGTTTCGGCATCTGGTTTTAGAAAGTTACAGGCAGATAAGAATATGAATGCTATTTTGTAGAGTGATTTAGTTTATACTGTATCATATTACAGATCAAAAAAAAGGAGTCAGACCTTACAAATTATCAGATTAAAATGTACAGGTAACTTCACAAATGGAGAAGAGAATCTCATGGCCAGCATGTTGTCAACCTTAACGGAGTTTGAAATGGCCCCTTGTGCTGTTTTGTCATGGGGCAGAATAGCCAGGTGCAGAAAGAGAATCTGTGGAGTTCTTTTTTTTTTTTTAAGATTTATTTATTTTTGTGAGAGAGAGTGAGCAAGGGCAGGGGAGGGGCAGAGGGAGAGAGAGAATCTCAAGAAGACTCCCCGCTGAGCACAGAGCCCAACGACGAGGGGCTTGATCCCACAACCCTGAGGTCATAACCTGAGCTGAAATCAGGAGTGGGACGCTAAACCGACTGAGACACCCAGGCGCCCCAAGGATCTGCGGGATTTCTTAATGGATTAGGTATAGAGGGTCCAGGAGTGGATGGAACCAAAGGTGAATCTTCAGGGTTCTGGCCATAAGCACTCCATGTGTCGGGTGCCCTTTACTGACTCAGAGAAAACTGGGGGAGTCCAGTTTGAGACTAAAAAATGAGGTCAGTGAGGGACCATTTAAGTTAGAAATGATAATAAGACACAGGACCTTAAAATTTAGAAATTCAGGTAGAGGTAAATGTTTCAAGAAGTAAAGAGTAGTCAGTTGTTAAATGATACAGAGAGGGCAAGTAAATTGGGAGCACAGAAATGACTATTAGATTTGGCAACGTGGAGATCATTGATGATCGATCAGTAATCAGTCAAGTTTTCTTAGAGAGTTGAAGGGCACAAGCCAGTTTGGAGCAGACTAAAGAAGTAATAGGAAATGAAATATAGAACAAATGGAGACACCTTTTTGATGAAGTTTTGCTGTGAAAAGGAGCAGAGAAATGTAACCAAAACACTGCGTAGGCCTTCCACATAGACATCAAATTCAGGAAAAGTGACCTTTGTGTATATCCTTTAAAACAAAATAACGAAGTAAAAAAAGATCATATTATATATGATCTGGATAAGCCTTTTCTAGCTAATTTGTCTTGATCTTTCTATATAAGTGTATACAGACCTATCATTCTTTTTAAATAGCTGCATAATATGCCATTGTTTGGTTGTACAATTATTTATCAGGTCCCTTATTGGTGGATACTGATGCTGTTTTCACTGTATTGTTAATATAAATAACCATGGTGAAAGTCATGGTGCATCTGTTCTTGGCATTGTTTTTTTTTTTTTTTCTTCTTCTTCTCAAAGATTTTATTTATTTATTTGAGAGAGAGAGAGTGAGAGAGAGCATGAGAGGGGAGAGAGTCAGAGGGAGAAGCAGACTCCCCACTGAGCGGGAAGCCCGATGCGGGACTCGATCCCAGGACTCCAGGATCACGACCCGAGCTGAAGGCAGTTGCTTAACCAACTGAGCCACCCAGGTGCCCTGTTCTTGGCATCGTTTTAAAAGTATATCCCTAGGGTAGATAGTTAGCACTAAAGCTACAATCTTATAGAGTATGATATATCATTTTGACAAATACTGTGAGCTTTTTTTCCAAAAGGTTACACCTGTTTATACACCCACATGTAAGTAAATGCCTGTTTTTCCACACTTGGACCAAAGGTGCTATTATCAAACTTTTAAACTTTTGACAGTTTGATAGGTAAGACAAAAATGGGATCTGTTTGCATTTCCTTAAGATGAAGCTGTGTATCACTTCTTTATCTTTACACATCATTTCTTTTTTATGAATTTCTTCAGTACTTTTAATATTGAAAGAGTATTTATTGAAGGGGAATAAAAATGCCAGTGACACTTCATTACACTGGATAACATTACAAAGAACTCCAGTTTTCCAAGCTCTTTTAATACTTCAGACAGTCCCTAGGCCCACCCTTGTCCCTGTGACTTGAGAGGAGGACAGAGGGAGATGGGGGGCCTTCTGTGTGTGCCCACCTCCACCCAGGGCTCTACCTGTGTGGATTCCTCCTATTCCAGTCTAAAGGTTGGGGCAATAGAAGTAGAAATAGCTCCTCCTTGGGAATAATAATTTGGCATAGTTCAGTAACAGTGAATAATCTCAAATGAGAAATATTTTTCTCTAGTTTATTTTTAGTCAAATAACTATTACTCTACGGAGTATGTGATCCCATATAATTTACTTTGTAAGCTGGGTGGACAAAGAATTAAGCTGTGCACATCCTAGTTCTTTTTTTTTTTTTTTAAGTTTTTATTTTAATTCCAGTTAGTTAACATACAGTGTTATATTAGTTTTAGGTGTACAATGTAGTAATTCAATACTTCCATACAACAGCTTGTGCTCATCATGACAAGTGCACTCCTTAATCCCCATTGACTGTTTCATCCATCCGCCTGCTCACTCCCCTCTGGTAATCATCAGTTTGTCCTTCATACTTTTAAGAGTCTGTTTCTTTCTTTCTTTCTTTTTTTTTTTTTTAAGATTTTATTTATTTGAGAGAGAGAGAGAGAAAGAGCACAAGCTGGGGGGAGGGGCAGAGGAATAGGGAGAGAATCTCAAGCAGACTCTCTGCTGAGCATAGAGCCCAATGCAGGGCTCGATCTCAGGACCCATGAGATTATGACCCGAACCAAAACCAACAGTTGGGTACCTAACTGACTGAGCCACCCAGGTGCTCCAAGAGTCTGTTTCTTGATTTGTCTCTCTTTTTTCCCCTTTGATCATTTGTTTTGTTTTTTAAATTCCACATATGAGTAAAATCATTATGATATTTGTCTTTCTCTGATTGACTTATTTCACTTAGCATTATATATATACATACACGCATATTATACACACACACACATGCCACATCTTTATCCACTGATTAATTCATGGACACTTAGGCTGCTTCCATAATTTGGTTATTGTAAATAATACTGCTGTAAATATAGAAGTACATGTATCCCTTTGAATTAGTGTTTTTGTATTCTTTGGGTAAATACCCAGTAGTGCGATTGCCAGATCATAGAGTCGTTGTATTTTTAACTTTTGAGGAACCTCCATACTGTTTTTCACAGTGGCTGCACCAGCTTGCATTCCCACCAATAGTGTATGCGTGTTCCTTTTTCTCCACATCCTTGCCAACACCTGCTGTTTCTTGTGCTGTTGATTTTAGCCATTCTGACAGGTATGAGGTGATACCTCATTATAGTTTTTATTTGCATTTCCCTGATGATAAGTGATGATGAGCATCTTTTCATGTGTCTGTTGGCCATCTGTGTGTCTTTGGAGAAATGTCTGTTCATACCTTCTGCCTATGTTCTAATTGGATTATTTGTTTTTGGGGTGTTGAGTTTTATAAGTTCTTTATATATTTTGGATACTAACCCTTAATTGGATATGTCATTTGCAAATATCTTCTCCCATTCCATAGGTTGTCTTTTAGTTTTGTTGATTTTTTCCTTTGCTGTGCAGAAGCTTTTTGCTTTAATGTAGTCCCAGTAGTTTATTTTTGCTTTTGTTTCCCTTGCCTCAGAAGACATAGGAAGAGGTTGCTACAGCCCATGTCATAGAAGTTACTACCTGTGTTCTCTTCTAGGATTTTTATGGTTTTGGGTCTCACATTTAGATCTTCAATTCATTTTGAATTTATTTTCGTATATGAAACATGGTCCAGTTTCTTTCTTTTACATGTTGCTGTCCAGTTTTCCCAACACCATTTGTTGAAGAAACTGTCTTTTTCTCATTGGATATTCTTTCCTGCTTTGTTGAAGATTAATTGACCATATAGTTGTAGGTTCATTTCTGGGTTTTCTGTTCTGTTCCATTGATCTGTGTGTCTCTTTTTGTGCCAGTACCATACTGTTTTGATTACTGCAGCTTTAATGTAACTTGAAGTCCAGAATTGTGATGCCTCCAGCTTTGCTTTGCTTTGCTTTGCTTTGCTTTTTCAAGATTGCTTTGGCTATTTGGGATCCTTTGTGGTTCCATACAAATTTTAGAATTGTTGTTCTAGTTCTGTGAAAAATGATGTTGGTATTTTGATAGGGATTGCATTAAATGTGTAGATTGCTTTGGGTATAGACATTTTAACAAGATTTGTTCTTCCAACCCATGAGAATTGGAATGTCTTCCCATTTCTTTGTGTCATCTTCAATTTCTTTCATCAGTGTTTTATAGTTTTCAGAGTACACTGGGTCTTTCACTTCTTTGGTTAGGTTTATTCCTGGGTATCTGATTATTTTTGGTGCAGTTGTAAATGGGATTGTTTTCTTAATTTCTTTTTCTGCAGCTTCATTATTGGTGTATAGAAATGTAACGGATTTCTGCACATTGATTTTGTATCCTGAGAATTTACTAAATTCGTTTAGCAGTTTTTTGGTGGAGTCTTTCAGATTTTCTTTAGGTAGTATCATGTTGTCTGCAAATAGTGAAAGTTCTACTGCTTACTTATTGACTTGGATGCCTTTTATTTCTTTTTGTTGTCTGATTGCTGTGGCTAGGACTTCCAGTACTGTGTTGAATAAAAGTGGTGAGAGTGAATATCCTTGTCTTGTTTCTGACCTTAGGGAAAGAGCTCTCCCTTTTTTCCCATTAAGGATGATATTGGCTGTGGGTTTCTCATATATGACCTTTATTATGTTGAGGTATGTTCCCTCTAAACCTACTTTGTTGAGGGTTTTTATCATAAATGGATGTTGTACTTTGTCAAATGCTTTTTCTGCATCTATTGAAATGATCATATGATGTGATGTTGATTGATTTGCATATATGAACCATCCTGGCAACCCAGGAATAAATCTCACTAGATTGTGGTGAATGATTTTTTTAATGTGTTGTTGGATTCAGTTTGCTAGTATTTTGTTGAAAATTTTACGTCTATGTTCATCAGGGATATTGGCCTGTAGTTCTCTTTTTTAGTGGTGTCTTTCTCCAGTTTTGTTATGAGGATAATGCTGCCTCATAGAATGAATT